CAGTCCCTACTCAGCCAGCGAGGTCGGCCTCTACTGGCTCAGAGGTATCTCAATGCTTCCCCCATCTACCAGAGGCGTTAGAGACTACTGTTGGGCGGGAAATGTCCTTAATTTAGCTCAGTGGCCTCCTTTGGAGACATGAGGTTCTTTTACGTGCCGTAAAGCTACGACACGGGACCCACGGCTTAAAGTCCCTCCCGGAGGACTTGTTCCCTGGATTTTTCCGCCCTTAAAAATTCCATGACCTCCGCCGGGTTTGAACCCGCGTACCTTGAGTCATGAGGTGGGAACGTTACCCCTAGACTACGGAGGCTGCTTTTGCACTGTGTGACCTAACGGAGTATGTGTCTTCCACTCAACGAGAGGGGAAACAGATCCAGTTTCTGAAACGTTGCGTTCTCTCGTTTTTAGAACAGCGGACGATGGACAAAGACCAAAAACACAGTAATTCTGAATGTTATACACCATCGCCAGAAGCCTTTAGAAAATACTAACCTATAAGAAGTATATATTTTGTATGTGTAGATCTCTGGACCAGTCACTACTGGGTACTGGGGACTGATTACAAGACGTATTCCATAGTGAGAGGCTGTCTAGCCGACGACAACGCACATCGTAAGTATACACTGCTGTAAGAATGCTTAATACGTTCAGTAATTACCACAGGTGCACATGTAGTAATGTGTCTTATTATTGCACAAGTAGTATCCCTCCAGCTGCCTTAGGCATATTTCAGGTCCGAGGCTTCTTCAGAATTGTCGTGACAAGCTTTTTTTTTTTACGGTGAGGAGTTTTTAGCCCCATGCCCAACCCCCAGGTTGAGGACTACCCCTTGTCGGCCGTCCGCGACTGCTAATTCATTATATTCGCGGCTACCCTCCATACCTGGAGGACGTCTCCATCCGCAACCCGAGGATGCATCATGCTGTGGTGACAAGGGACTGCATATTGAGGAGCGTCATAACTTGTACTGTTCTCCAAGTATAATCAGAATGATCAAGTTAAGGAGAATGAGATGGGCAGGGCATGTAGCACGAATAGGGGGAGACGAGGAATGCGTATAGAATATTGGTGGGAAAGCCAGAAGGAAAGAGACCACAGGGAAGACCAAGTCGTAGGTAGGCGGATAATATTAAAATGGATCTTAGAGAGACAGGATGGGATGGTATGCATTGGATTGATCTGGTTGAGGATAGGAACTAGTGGAGGACTCTTGTGAACGCGGTAATGAACCTTCGGGTTCCATAAAATGCTGGGAAGTTCTTGAGTACCTGCAAAATTGGCGGCTTCTCAAGAAGGGCTCGGCTCCGTGAGAGAGTGACTTCGGTATGTTTCATATATACGATGTTTGGAGAGTTGGGTCTCCCACCGTGGCAATTTTCATTATTCCAACACATCCTTGCAGTTTCTTTACTTCTTGAATTGGTGGTAAGAGGGAGGGATCGAACCCGGAACTTCTTAAATATTACAGTTTCATATTTACTGGTAACCAGTAACCATGTGAAGGTGGGAGTAGAATAAAATTACGAAATTCCGTATAGGCCTATGTTTCAAAGAGCGAATAACGTGCGACTTAATTCGGGTATAATGGACCGAGAAGCTTCAAAACTCAGTAAATAAAAATGAAAGAGAGAAAGGACGGAGGGAGAGAGAGGGAGGGAGAGAAAGAAATGTTTTATTCTGAAACCCGAAGGTTCGTTACTGTCAACACGCACACGTAAACATACGAGTATATTCAGATTCTGTCCTGATCTGTTTCAAACCAGCTCATAGACTGCATTTTTACCCTTAGTCTAATTAATAATCAAACATCCATTTTAATATCATCCTTCCATCTATGCCTATGATTTCTATGTGGTCTCTTTTAACGACGCTTTCAGATAAGAATGCTGTATATATTTGTCTATGGCTTATACAGCCCCTGACGGTCCCTTTCGTCATAGTATATTTCATTATCTACAGCAGGCATGTCCATCTTCAAACAGGTTGTGATCGACTTTTTAGTGTCAAAACTGCGAGTGATCTACCACCCCCTCCTATCGTCATACCTCGCTTTAAGCAAAAATATTGGTAAAAATAACACGAAACATGATGTTTATTATAAAAGCAACATTCACTGAAAGTACAGACTTACCTTGTTCGTTAAGAACAGAAAAATAGGAATAACTAATACGTATTTTCCCTTCAAAATCTGAATATAATAATATTATATTACAGGTCAATTTACATGCTTTTCACGTATAATTTCCTTATAGGTCTATGAGATCGACGCGTTGGACATGCCTGATCTGAAAGATACGCCGTAATAGAAGGATAAAGGAAAATATTCAGTGAAGAGTTCCAAAATTTATACTGTTGAATTGTTACCATGACCGAATTAAGCATGACATGAGCGAGGCATGTGGCAGGCAGAGGGAAGATGAGAAATTTACATAATTTTTTATCGGAAAACCTGAAAGAGAGAACAATAGGTGTGAATTGATTTACTGTGGTGTGTGAAAAACTTTTAGTGAACCGACACTCTGGGTAATTTTAACTATTTGTAATTATTTTAATTAACTGGAACGTGGCTATCTTGGACAAAGTGAAGTTTTGTGTGTTGGTGATTTCTTTTTCTACTATAAATGCCTCTGATGATGGCTCCGTGGTGAGCCGAAACATGTAAGGCAGGTGGTGACGAGGTGGAAAACTTAAAAAAGTGTCACATTTGACGGAAGGAACTTGATTGTTAATTGGTTAGTGTGACGGACCAGAATGAAAGACCTTAAACTGAAAGACCTTAAACTGATTTAATCTGGTTCACGATTGGTCTTGAAGCGGTCTTTTCTGAACACCTTTCATGAACGGCGCGAAATTTTACTAGCTGAATGATTCTTTGGAAGGACTCAGTCCATGTAATTACTCTGCTGACTTCCTTGTATTTCTTCTTCTATACAAATTAGGCGGTTTCATGCTCGGACATTCCTCAACTGTATATCGCTTCATTGGTACACCTTTCACTCGTTTCTCTGCAGATATATAACTCTTTACGTCTTCACCATCGCATGTCTACGTGTTTGCATTTCTTTCTATGCATAGCAATCTTTCTTGATTTGAAATTTTGCTCAACTTCCTCCCTCTCTTGTGTCTTGATATTCTGGCAGCCCTTCGTTTTCGTTCAGTCTATATACTTCCCTCGAAGTGAAGAGACCGAGTTTCATACCAATCCCTTTAACAGCCGTCAAAGGCATAGGGTTGTGAGACGTCGAGACTCCCACATTTTTTTCTAGAAAATCGGCTCAAAGACGGCGGTAAAGTCGTCAAGCCTTAAAAGGCGCGTCCATATTACGCGTGCTCGTGTGACTCGCTGTGCTCGCGAGTAATGTGGACGATATGACAAGTCACGAGACAAGCAAATTTAAAATTTTTAATTTAAAAACTATAGCTAATAAATTAAAATACGATTACAGCCTATACACACTACGAGTAAATATACGGATCCTCACGCGCCGAAGCCTGGCGAGCAACTGAAGTAGTGTGGACCGTGTGGACGAAGATTTACGAGCACAAGTAAAAGCCAGACGAGTCTCCCGACGAGCACAAGTAATGTGGATGCGCCTTAGCCCCCAGGAAGATTACTGGTACTCATTTCTGTTAGAGGCTGAGTCGACCCCAGGGCCACAGTGCTGCTGGAAGTATGAGGTCAATTGAAAAAAGTCCACCTCATCGGGACTTGAAACCGCGACCTTCCGGGTTGTGGCATAGTGCCTCAATCAACTACGCTACCGCGTGCCCCACAATAAATTGTTACCAAATATTTTATTTTCATAAAAAATGTCTTTAGTTTTAAAAGCCGAGAGAAAAGACGTAGATTAACAGTTTCGGGAATCTGATACTGACTGATTTACTAGTAACTGTGTACAAATACATGAGTTTCCAATATGTAACGAGTTGCTTGTTGTACAGCACTGACGTGGATTGCAAGTCGCACAACATCATTTGACGATGAGACGAAACAAGAGGTTAACAACATCTTGGAGCAGTACGGCATCAGCCTAGATGACTTCGAGCCCGTCACCCAGACGGACTGCGCGAAATATAGGAGTCCTTAAATGTCACAGCTCTTATGCACTGTTTGACGCTACTGAACTGCGGTTACCACGGCGTCGATAAGCAACGAAATAATTAACAGTATACACTGCTTTGTTCGAACTTGTATCTGTAAGAAATAAAGCGCTTCTCATCATAATATACTTATTAATTTCAAATAATGAAAATAGTGACAAAGTATTTTACAATGTTTTTCTCGAGATAAGGTTCGAAGAAAGATAGAAAGAAGGACGCAGAAAATAAACAAATAAGCAAAAATAATAAAAACACAAAGAAAAGGAGAATTTTAAAAAGAAAATGATTTTGTCACTGTTTATGCTGAAAATTTGGGAAAATTATATTTCAGAACTATATGATCGACCTAATCGGCCAGAAACCTTAGAAGTTGAACCGGAAGAAGAAGTAGATACAGACGAGAAAGGACCATATATTTTACAAAGTGAGGTGGAAAAAGCTATCAAGGAAATGAGGAAGGGAAAGGCTACAGGAGATGATGATGTACCTGGAGATGTGCTCAAGTTACTGGGAGAAGGTGGTTTGAAAACACTGACAAAACTAATGAACACCATATATGAAAGTGGAGAGTGGCCCAAGGACTTTACAGAAGTTACAATGA